CTGGGGACAAGGTGGGGATGGGGCACAGGGTGGGCTCTGTGTGATCCTGGAGGGCTTTTCCAACCCCAGTGATTCCATGATCCTGTGATGTTGTGTTCCTTCCATTCCCACATTTCCCTGGAGTGCTGCCAGGTGTGACTGTGTGACAACTGGGTTTGGTTTGGTTGGAGGAGGCTCCTCAGGGGTTTCCTGTGGGGTCACTGAAGGTGTGATGCTGGGTAACCTTCCTCCTGCTCTGCTCCCCTTCTGTCCCAGTTCGTGCACTGGCAGCATCTTCCCTCTGGACTGGATGAGATGGGATGGAGGAAACAGGAGGATTTGTATCATGGCACGTTGGAATACATGCATTTATAAATTTTATCTTGATAGCAGGCGACAAGAAATGATGTTCTGGATGAAACAGAAACATCTTGGGGTTCAAACGGATTGAAACCTTTTTTTCCCCGTAACAAATCTGTATTTACTGTGGGGTTTTGTTATATTTCCTTACAGATATTTTCTCTCAGATATCAGATTCCAACGGACTAATGATATTTACCAAGTTTGACCAGTTTCTGAGGGAGGTTCTGAAGCTCCCCACGGCCGTGTTTGAGGGGCCCTCCTTCGGGTACACGGAGCATTCCGTGAGGACCTGCTTCCCTCAGCAGGTGAGGGGTCCCTCTCCAGGACTTGGCATTCCTGGCTCATCAGATCCATGGCCTGGGCAGGGTTGGAGGGAGGGGCTGCTGGTATCCCAGGCACTTTTAAGACAGCCTAAAATAGGCAATTAAAGGGTTTTCCACCACTGTAGTTGGTTCCCTTCCTTGAGGTCACACCCCAGTTCCCCACCAGAGCAGCAGGGATGAACCATTTCTTCTCCAAAACATGAAACATGGCATTTTTACTATTTTCTGTTGATCTTTTTAAAGCTTTTTCACAATTCCTTTCAACTGGGTCTGTACCAAATAAACACCTTCTTTACAGGCAGTTTATTCTTAAGTCGATTTCAGCTGTGATTTAGTTGTTCCAATGATTTGTTTCTCATCTGAGATAACGTAAATAGCATTTAACTCAACTGTAAACACGAACCTGGGTGATTTTAAGCCTCAGATTAAATGTTCAGGCTCTGGGCATGGTGATGTTCCAGGAGAAACACTTTTGCAGTGCTTAGGTGTGAAATTTGTGGTCACTAAATGTGAGTTAATTAGCAGCTGGTGTATTTGGGAAATGACACAGTGGGGAACAACCTTTGATTTCAGAACCAACGAGGCTCCAGATTTACATTGGATATCAGGAAGGAATTCCTGGCTGGGAGGGTGGGGAGGGCCTGGCACAGGTTGCCCA